ATTTAGAATCGAACAAATAGAGCTAAGGTAGGCTTGGTTAGCAAGCATGGTGGCAGGCTACACCCGGATGGTCTATAATACCTGTGGGTGGATTCTAGTTAATATAAAATAATATAGCTTAAACTTTATGTATGTGATACGTATGTAAAAACTATCTATATTAATAAACTAGAGTAAAGTCTCACTTTAGCCGGAAAAAAAAAAAAAAAAAATCAGAAAAAATCAGAAAAAATCATAACACCATATAAATCTATTTCTCCTATGTATAATTTACAAAGTTTGTAATTGTCGCTCTCCAAAAAATTTAGCAAGTCAAATGAAAGGTAACTCAGGAATTTCAAATTTGAATTTATCATTTGTTTAATATTATTCCAATTAAACTTGAACAAAAGAAGGATGAAGAAAAATATCTCCCTATCAATAAAATTAATTTATCTTTTTTTTAATTGCTAAGTGAGGCCTTCCTCATACTTTATTGATTAATATATAATTAATGTAATACATTTTATACAAAATCAAAAAAGATGAAATATATGACTATACATATTGGCCTGCTACCATAGACAGATATATCAATTGAAAAAACCTTTAACAGGAAAAACATGAGGAACTATCTGTCAAAATAAAAAAATAAGAAAACATTTTAGGCAAGATCGCCATTATGAAAAGATTTAAAGAGAATGTAGAAGTTTACAGAATGATATTATCTTTTGTCCAACAATCCCTCCTGCAGGGCATGGATTCAATGTATCTACCTAGGTTCAAAGCTTCCTTTTCGACAGTTGGGCGTGACTCCAACACAGTAGTAGAGCACTGGCATAGGCTGCCAGATTATGGGACACAACTCCCTGGTATTTCACTTCCACTCAAAATAAGATTGCTTTTATTCACATTGATTAGGCTTTGGCTGCCTTTTTTCTTTAATGGTAGCATTGCTGCTCGTGGGGCACAACTCCATTGTTGAAGATAATATGTAGATTTGTATGGTTAAGTGTTATGTAGTGTGGCTGTGTTAAAGTAAGTTGGAAAAATTGCTTGTTGTGTTTTGGATGTGTATTAAGTTAAAGATTATCAGAACCCACGCAGGGCACAAATCACGCGCTCTCCCAATCTGATATGTTGTTTGTTTATCATTGTTGTCATTGTAATTGTTGTGGCTATTGTTGCTGTTGTTGTAGACATAAGAGGATTTTGTTATGAAAATAGTTATAAGCAGGTTTGAGCAGATGTTGTTGTGGCTGTTATCATTGTTATTATGGATGTGTGGGAATTTTGTTGTGGAGACTGGTTGTTAATGAGTTTGAGCAAGTGTAGATCATTGTTGTTATTATGTGTGTGTGAGAATTTTTATTGTAGAGACTTTGTTGTTATTGTGTGTGTATGGGAGTTTTTGTTGTAAAGACTGGTTATGAACCAGTTTGAACAGGTTTTGTTTTTTGATTAAGAAGTGAGACAATTTAATTGGTTGTTGAGTATGTGTAGATCTTTTGAAGGGTAGAGCTAGGTACGGTTTTTTTGAACATTTGAGAAAAATTAAAAAAAAAAGAAAAATAAATTTGTGAAGGTTGTGTTAAGACAAACATTAGACCCAGTAACTTTGTTTGAATGTGTTTTTTGGAATGTGTTTGTGATATAGAGAGAAAAGAAGAAAAAGAGGAGAATGGTTATAATGGTCATATATAAAGGGGAAGGTACCTAAAGACAAAAATTATGAAGGAGGACTGCCATAGGCCTTTCCCCATGCAACCAAGAGCTAAGAAAGACTCTCAACTTGCTTAGGTCTTGACCAGAGGTCCCATCCCAATGCAACAGTGTTCCTTAAAGTCTTTATGTCCTTGGGTATAAAGCTTATTTGCCTTAAAAAAGTAAAGAGAGAAAAATGCTTCTTGAAAGAAGATTTTCAAAAAAGGAAATTTTCAAAAAATCAGCAATGAATGAGTGAGAGTTTTTTTTTCAATAAAATTAATTTATCTCAGAAACCCTTTTACAAAATAATTATAATAAATTTCTTTATTGTTTACAAAGACATACTTTCAATAATATGCATATCATTACGGTAACAATCTTCTAATTTGTATAATGGTAATGGTTACAAGATAGAAAAAGAAAAAAAAAATTATCCATTTTATATGCAACTAACCAACCAACCAACTGTTATGAATGCAACACTCTAAAATATATGGTTATATGGTATGACATATACAAACCATTCATTCTAGGCAAGAAACAAATAGATCCACTCACCAGTCGCATTATTAAAATATTTCCTTTCTATGGAAACAATAGTCACGAATAGTATATTATCCTCAAGAATTTTGCACAGTTTCAATTTTGAAGGTTCATCTATGATCACAGAAAGTAAAATCTTTAGACAGGTGATCGTCATTATAAGTAAATTGTATGAAGATATCTAAATATAATGAAAATACCTCCGCCAGATTGTAAATATTTATTTTGTGCAATGTCTTTACATAAGTCTGAGAGTCAGCAATCTTGAAAAAATTATTTTTAATAATATGATATAATTCGTAAAATATATGATGTTCACCTATATACCTGTGAAAGAATACATTCGCTTGTTCTTATATCAATAAAGCAAATTTCAACTTCACTAGCAACACCTGTTATAAGTAATATTAAAACAGTATTTATCTATATAGCAAATATTTATCAAGACTCTTGATTACCTTGATCTTCAATTATAGTGGCAATAAACAATTGAGATTTCTCATGAACAGTATATCCAGGTGCTGATGTTCGAGAATGTTGATTAAGAAGACTTAATATAGGTGACAAATTTCTTATAACAATTGAAGACTGCCATGAATTACTTGTCCTCAATGGTAAATCATGTGCTAAGAAATCATAATTAAAGTGGTTAGTAATGGATGATAAGATGATGAAATAGATGAAATAGATGAATATAGATTTGAGATGTTTCTTGTTCAGCATTTTATAATATCTTTAATCAATAGATAAAAAGATGCAAAAAGAAAAAACAGATGTTTTTATGTACTATATGAATCTTGAAATTATTTTACTATCAATTGAACTCTTAAATATTAACACGAAATAAAATCACTCAATAGTGTTTTTTAGAATTTATATCAAAAAACTTTTTTTCTTTATTGAAGCCAATAGATCAATACCTTTGATCTACTATATTATCTATCTCTTAATGATTCTGGCCATCAAGAATTTTAAATACATTCTCTTTATGATTTAAAGATGGGAAATGAACGACTCTCCTGCTGAGAATAATGTTTTGTTTTGTTTTGTTTTAAGGAGTACTTCTTGTAAAAACTTTATTTAATAATACTAATGATCCTAGGGAAAGGTATCTCTGGTGAAATAACATAAACCCTGGTATAATAGATCTAATTACAAACAATGTGCAAGAGTTAATTAAACTTTCCCTATAAAAATATATATAGTGAAATGGATTAATCATAAGATTTAAGAATAAATCAATAAAATGAAATTCAAGTGATTATTTTGATATATTAGCTTATTGTTTAATATGAATTTATTATAAAATTTTGAAAATAAAGAATATTAAAATCATGTGACTTATTTTATAAATGGAACAATATCCATTGGCTTACCTTTGAAGCAATGGAACATTGAACTGAAGCATTGTTCCAGTTGATTACTGAAGTACAATATAACAAGGCTGGTTATAATCCATCTATAAAATTTACTATAAGAGTTGAAATCAAATAGAATTAAATACAGAATTATTAGGATTCTTATATATATTTCTAGTTTAATATCTACAAGAGACAAAACATATAAATTTATCCTTTATTTGTGAGTTTATTAATTTTTTACAAATGTTATATCCAAACATCTGAATTATAACCAAATTCAGTTAGACTGCATGAAGATGAAATTTTTGGTCTTTCTAATAATTATGGGCTGAAAACAGATTGAAGCAAAAAAAATTGTACAAGAAAAGACTTCTGGTTTAACTCTGATAAAAGTCCATTAAATCATTTCCTGATATGGCAAACTTTGTAGCACAAAAAATACTCTAGCCTAGGATTATCCCAGTCTGATACTTGCTTAAAAGAAGGATATATCTTAAATATGTACTTAATATAATCTAAAGTCACAGGTAGTAATAAAAAGTACAAGTATTTTCTCTAAAGTTCTAAATAAAAAGTATATGGATTATCCAAATGTTTTAATTAACCTTGCAAGGTATAGGCTTTTTGACCATAAGTAGCTACAAGATTGTTGAATCTGGACTTAGTAGAAAGGTGAGTTTAAACTAATGATAGGACTTTCCATCTCCTAAATTTGTTTCACCTAGCATATGGGTTTCATTTTCATAGTGACAAGTTTATATAGCTGGGTTAAATAGGTAATAGAAATAAGTTAACTTAAATGAACCTTTGATATAATGTAATTGGATATAAATATTTCAATAAAATATAATATGTCTAGTATTTTTTATCTTAAAAAAAAAAAGAAGTTTATTATTAATTAGTAATAAAGTTTAAAAAATCTTTATCAATATTTATTTTTTTTGAAATTTAATAATGTTTTAAATTTTTTAATAATATATACTCTTTAATTAATATTTATTTAACAAGTCATTTGTCAATATTAAAAAAAAAAACAGTATATAGAATTATAATTAAATATCAAATAAAATTAAAATAAGAATAGATAAAAAAAGACCTGTAGGTCTATAGCACAGTGGTTAGTGCTTCACAGATCAAATCACAAGATATCGGTTCAATCCCAGGTAAAAGTGGTTGAATAGGATTAATATGGTATCTGGCACCATAACCAATCATGTGCTGTTTCTTATAAGAAGCCATTTACATGCTGATCTGGTAGGACGTTGAGATTGTGATTTCCCATTAAGGTGTCGTGATGTAACGATCGTCTGGTTGGTGCATGATGATCGTCGAGAAGTCCCTTCATATGTAGGTTGTGCAGACCCCCTATGTATGTCATACCCAATAGGCTGAATCTGACCATTTCAGAATTTCCTAGTTTGGAGCTATCCCAATCTGGCGCTTGCTTAAAAGAAGTTGGTCCCATGAAAAGGATTTACCGAAGCCGCAGGTGGTGACAAGGAGCAAGTATTCTCTCTGAGGGTCCAAACGAAAAGTATCGTGGTGTCCGAAAATCTGATAATTAAATCACTGCGGGATAAACACTAGCTCTCAGAAAATAGGTTATAGGTTAGGTGGTTTAAACTAGTGATAGGTATTCCCCTCCTATAGAAACCCCACCTGACGTGTTGAATCCACATTTAGTATATAATTCTCATAGTTGGGTTAAAAGATAGATGGTAAGCTAATATGTCAAAGTATTAGGCAGTATTGGTTTACAATTGTAGACTACATAATCGGTACAAACTGTACAATTTCCAATTGTAAAAGGACATTTGATATAATTTGTAAATTATTCATGTATCAATAAAAATTTGCATCGTTGCACATTCATCTATAAAAAAAAAAAAAAAAAAAAAAAGAATAGATAGAAAAAAACCTGTGGGTCTATAGCATAATGGTTAGTGTTTCACAAATCAAATCACAAAATACCAGTTTCAATTTCATGTGAAAATAATAGAATAGAATTAATATGATATCTGGTACCATAATTAATTATGTTTTGTTTTTCATAAGAAGTTATTTCATATGCTAATTCAGCAGGTGTTGAGATTATGACCTTCTTGTTAAAGTGTCATGGTGTAACAATTGTCCAGTTGATGCTATAATAATCATTATGAAGTCACTTCATATATAGGTTGTATAGGTTCTTCTATATATATTGTATTCAATAAGCCTTATCTCAACTTTCTCTTAGAATTTTCTAGTTTGGAGCTATTTCAATCTAATGCTTGCTTAAAAAAAGTTGATCTTTGGAAAAGGATCTATCAAAGCCACAGGTGGTAACAAGAAACAAGTATCCTCTTCAAGAGTTCAAATGAAAAGTATCAAGGTATTTAGAAATCCTATTAATCTTTATGGGATAGATATAACTCTTAATAAATGGATTATACTGTAGATAAAGATGAGTCCTTAAATTAAAAGTAAGAATATAATTCAAATATCTTTCACTATTAAAAAAGTTTTTTTTTAAATATAAGATAAAAAAAAAACTACCTACAAAGGTTTTTTGCAATTTAG